ATATTAACGGACATAGTCACGCCTATCTCCGCCGTGCAAAACCACCCCCATCGGCCCGGGGTGGTATTGCAAACATGTCAGCGCACGTCATTTCGGCCTCTTTTGAGCCGGGACCCGCCCCCACTGGCCTCCTCTTAATAGAGAACATGTTGTATTTTGTATACTTGTGAGAAAGAGCCCTGTGAGTCACTATTTGACCCTTTGGGATGAGAGCTTAGCATGGGTAGTCCTCTTTTTTCACTTTTCTGTCTGAAAAAGTAAATGTAAAGCCAAAAATACGTGCAGGTGAAAACTATAGACGTAAACTGTTGTAGACGTTGTCCACATTGCCTAGAATGAGTCTGGCGATGAGCATGAACGGTTGGTGGTGGTCGCAGGGGCCGATGGCACTGGTTGCCTCACTTCTGTCAGTGTGCTCCAGGGCAGCTGTGGCTACCGTAGTTGTTTATCACCACTGTGTATGGAATGAATGAATAATGACAAGTGAAGCGTCTTTGAGTGTCCAAAGAAGCACCATATAAAAACAATGCATTATTACAACAATGTTAAAACAATGGCTGTAAATGTAGCAATACAATCATGTGGAAATTTGGCTTTAAATTTCTATACAAGTTTCAGCGTGTAGGCTACCTTCAAATATTGACCTTCTGTGAATTCATCTCTCCAATTGTGCTCCATCCATCTCCCTGGGGACGAAGAGAGCAGGCTGCCTCAGAGCTCTTATCCCTCCAGTGTGATCTACCCCTGCCCCCTCTCCAGACTCCCTGCTGGGTCTGTATGGGCCACTGAGTCCAGCCGTCCATCAGATCTGGTCTATATACTGCTGCATATGCCAGACATGAGATAGCACCCTTAAAAAGCCTGTAGCAAAACAGAGCGACCAGGATCTAAACGCACACATCTACATATCCGCCTGATAGGGTATGCACCAGAGGAGAGCGTCGCAATGCTGTTGTGTGACAAAACTGTATGTATGTTTGGCAGGTGGAACACCAGGTTATTATGCACAGCCAATTAAGTGCAGATAAAAAGCACAAATCTGCATATCGCTGCAGACCTGCGAGCACTTAATTATAGCAGCCTCATAAAATCAGTTATGTTTTAATGCTCTGCTGCGCATTCACATTGCTTCCTATAGCTACCGACAGCCATGCATCCTCCTACACATGCACTCAGTTTCCAGTAAGCGATCGTTATATAGATAGTTTTAATGAACAGGTTGTCTCAGGTGGATGATTTCCAGCATACAAACATTGATTTAGAACACTTTTTTAATAGCTTAGGCTGTATTAAAACAATGTTCGAAAATAGTCAACAGTGATGAATGATTCCTCCTAAATCAATCCTGCAGCTTTTGTTCTGACTCGGACAAAATAAAGATCTTACATTATATCTATTTAAATCTTCATTGGCCCTGGATTGAAACTGAAAATAAGAGAAGCTGTGTTCTCCCCTTATGCTCCTTGTGTGCTCCGACATTGGCCTCATTTAAGAGTAAACCAAATTAAGTTTCTTTCAATCAGACTTTTTAATGCGTCTCTACCTGGAAAATATATTATAATGATTTAAAACAATGTCTCTCCTGGTGTCAAACAAATTGAGCTACGGATCTTTTGTGAAATGTGTGATACGGATAAAAAAATCTTTCTAGTTTGATCAAGAAAATGATATGATGCAGTTACCAAATAGTGTTGAGTCAAATCAATGTAATTTCAAACAAACAAACACAGCTGCCATGTTATTATAAGCAAGAGCGGACAAATAACAGAACAACTGCACTACACTTGAGTGCAAATCAAGCATGTGTTATTGATTATTGTGTTTCATTGCGTGATTTGTCTACGAAGCTTGAAGCACATGTCAAGAACATTTCAAGTATTGACCCAATGTTGTGGTGATATTGTTTAATTTCATGCATAGATTTCCCACAACCTCCAACATGTGGATGTGCAAAGATTGGAGGTACACACGTAAAGCTATAGTCAGCGATGCTGGAGGGCCCTTGGCTGACTGCTGCTGCGAGACCGGCCCATCCCCCACAATGAGGGACTGTCTGGAGAGGGGGAAGGGAACCATGACTGTCTGAACACCAGACAGTGTACCTCAGCACTGCTGCCATTTAACATGAAACATAAGAGATACCTTTGTATATCTCTCACATTCACCAACTCTGTTATTTGAACATTATTAGAATAGGGCTTGCTTTTGAGATAGATGGGGTTAGCTTGCAACAGCCACAGACGACACATGAAACTTGCTTACAAGCGTCGTACATTAGTGGTGCATTAGTGTTACAGAGTTGATGGTGACATAACTGCTCATAGTCATCGTCTCATTGCTGACTTAACATGGATTCTCTAATAGGCTTGTGTTCAAGTATTTGAGAGCAGTAATAGGACAAGTGTCTGCTCTTAAGAAGACTTTGGTTTTGTCATGTTTGATGCCTCACAACATATCCATGTATTTTAGAATTTTAGACCAGTATTGACTCTATGACTATGGAAAAGTGTAGAAGGATTTTCATATTTTATCTAATTTCACCAATGATGTTTTAGCACGCAGTGATAAATGTGATACTATATGTGTAATGCATGTGTGAATCCAAACACACATTTAGCAAAGCTGCTTTCACCATAAAGACATAACACTGTGTTTTTGTATATTTGTTCGATTCCTGGATCTTTTGGGACCACTGAAAGAGAGTCATGGGGTTAAAAAAAAATCACCATAAGAAATAGAGCTTCAGTTCCAGCTGATATTTATTTCCTTCTTTGAAAAAAGTTCTGTACACAAGTTTATATCAACAATCTGACAGGCAGTGAATGGACACAATTTAGCTGGCATGAGTCTCCCCTCCCTTTGAGCCCCTACGAAGGATGATTCCTTTGTATATGGCATGATTAGACAATAAATGAACAAAACCTACACAGCATATTGCACAGGATGAATGAAAAATAAAGTTAATATATTTAAAATGCTTTGATATATATAAAAATGAGTCCTGAACTGACCACCTCATAAGTGTAAGGGTGTAAAAGATAGCAGTTCAAGACAGTGCCTGTCCTTGATAGCAACAACGTACATAAACACACAATCTTTTTGCTTTATGATACAGTCAAATATACAAAGATCGAGTTCACGTTTCATCATTTTTCATTTTTTTCTTAAAAACACAACAGCTAATAACCTGAATCTGAAATACAAATGCTATTCACCATGCCATAAAGATACTAAAACAATTATTAGCTAGTTAGCCGACAAGTAGAAAAGATTATATATTCAAATACAATGAGAAACGCAGTACAAGTAGATGAACTCAAGTCAGAAATTGAATATGCTTGCTGTTCTCAGTCTTGTTGCTTGTTATTATGTAACCTGTTCCATCCTGTAGATCTGACATCAATTCATGACAAACAGTGACAAACAAGTCAAATTTAAAGCTACAATCTCCTCGTGTTGTTGTCATAGGCAGGATTATCAGAAAGAAAACGCAACACAACATAGGAGTGGTTTGTTAGAGAGTGATGCTGTTGAAAACCACGTGGTGCACAGGCAGCATGGTGTGCCTGTGCCTTTAGAAGTCTGAGACTTGGCACTGTAAACGTAGGAGGGAGGCTGACAGAAAGACTGGTGCTGCGTTCAAGTGCTATCGTTCATATCTAGAAGGATCTATACTTAATATATCTCACGAGTTCAGGGGTCAGCCATCCAAAGGGTATCGGTCCTCACTGCTGGTAGATTTGTTTCCCTGTAATAGTAGTTTGGTGCCTTTGATTAATAAATTAAAAACAGTCTTAAAAGTACAAGGTAAGAATGAGCACTTGAAGGCAGCATTGAAACCAGCCTGCCCATGTCTTAAAATTAGGAAATCCAATACAACTGTATTAGGCTACACACGCCGATTGTTGACTTCCCCTTTTCCATATAGATTTGTACAAAAATACACTGAGAAAATAAACAAACTGTTTCTTCTTTTCCAAAAAGTGTGTACATTTAGATATAAAAAAGAACTTAAAAAGTTGTGTGTTCGTAAAACTCTAGCCCTTCGCCTGAGAAGGAAATGTGACAGACTGACAAAAACAACAGGACTAGTACAAGAAATAAAAAATGATCAAGTCAAAAATGCTTGGCCCAGTATATAAATACAATATCCAGTATAAAATGGCATCTGACACATGTACAAAAAAAACAAAGCTCAGAAAATGAACCAAAATAACAGTGAGGATTTCTCTATAGCTATCATCTGAAATAAACAATAAACAATTTGGTCCTGAATCGTAGAGAAAGTGTATATAAAGTTCAGCACAGATTTGAAGTTGAATCCTGAAGAAGTTTGAAACATTACAACAGCTGGTGATTATTTCAATGTCCATATTTTGTCTTTAGAGAGAAGAACCGAAGCGAGCGCCACCTATCCATTTTAAATACTATCAAGACTAAAGTGTTCTCACAGAAAATCTCAGCACAAGATAGGAACAAAGTAGGCGATCATGCTTTTAACGTGTTTTTTGCGTTTGAAAATACTTGAAAACTAAAAAACGACGACCCACCTCGGTTTATCAAAAAGGAGATCCCTCTTTGTGACACACAACAATAAACCTGTCGCACGACACAGCAGTCCTATTGTACCTTGTCAGTGGTGGAGTTCACTTGGAGCGTTCAAACTCGTGAAATGTCCCTTTTTCTAGTTAAAGTGAACGGCGGACCGCAGAGCTATCGTGCAAATAAATCACAGTTTGAGTTCAAAACAGTCGGAGCTTAGTGGCGTTTCAGTGCGCGCACGTCTGTCGCCAGCTACCGTCTCCTGTCTCCCCCTTTTCTTTGCCTCTGTTTCTGCCCAAGTCCACAAAAACTCAAAAGTTTGTTTTCCAGCGACTTTCAGGGCGAGGGAAAGAGGCTTGGAGTCGGGCTTTCTGCTAGTCTGGTGCGCCACGCAAACTATAACGCCCACTTTTTAAGATTTAACTTTCTCAAGGCAGCGAGGGGCCACTTTTACGCGCTCAGTACGTGAACACAAGATTGGAAATAGTGGACTCGAGCCAATCCCCGGAGATCATCTCACTGACTTCAGGTGTGCAGTAGTCGGGGAACTCGAAATGGGACCCCCCGGAGCCGGACTCAAAGTTCAAATCCAAGTCTCTGTCCAGCACGGATGAGCCGAAGCCGCTGCTCAGGGACATACCGTCAAAGCTGGGGCTCGGGTTGATGTCCAGTAAGTCGTCCTCAAACTCCTCATCCTCCGAGGAAGACGAGGATGATGAAGAATGGGACGAGTGCGAGGCGGAGGGAGTGGGGGACGAAGAGCGGCGACTGCTGGTGTAAGTGTGGCCGCCATAGAGCCCTCCCACCCCGGTACTACTGCTGCTGGAGCTGCTGCTGGAACTTGGGGAGTGCGCGTCCTCCTCTCTGCAGCCCGCCGGGTCCTCATACAGGCTGAGTGGGTCGCTGCTTTCCGCCGAGCTGCTGAGCGTGGGGCTGGCGGGGACCACTACAGAGGAGGCGGCGTTGGTGAACACGTACACCCGCTTGGGCTTCTTGGAGTCCAGGCTGTGTTTTGATGAGAAAGGCTTTGACTTGTACAGAGAGTTGTGATGGTCTGATTCAAACGCTTTGGTGTTGAAGACTGATTTATGTGGCTTTGGTGACTTGGAGCCACTCTTCCTGGATGAAGATGTTTTATTATTTGTGCTGGTGTTGTTTGAGCTTACTTTCTCCGCCTTGTCGCCAGGTTTGGACACGCTTGACTTGACTTTCTTCCTGGGCCGGTACTTGTAGTCTGGATAGTCCGCCATGTGCTTGAGCCTGAGCCGCTCTGCCTCTCTGATGAAGGGGATCTTGTCGCTGTCTCGGAGCAGCTTCCACCGCTTGCCCAGCCTCTTGGAGATCTCTGCGTTGTGCATGTCTGGGGACTGCTCCATGATCTTTCTCCTCTCGATCTGGGACCACACCATAAATGCGTTCATGGGTCTCTTGATGTGACCACTCGGGGTCTTACACCACGCCGGGTTCTCCCCCAGCTTGTCCCCCGCGGTGGATGATGCCGTGGATCCCGGGGACAGAGGCGAAGCGGCTGCGTCCAGGTCCATGCATGCGCCAGAGTCGGAGCTGGAGTCCCCGCCGAAGAAGGAGAGCGCCTCAGCGGTGCTCTCCGTGTGGCTCATTTTCTGCACCATGCTGTCCGGTTAGAGCGCAGAGGGAGAGCTCTATGGGCTCTTTCTCTCCCTCTTTACTTTAAAGCAAACTCAGCTCTTTTCAGCCACTCTTCACAGTTTGCGCTGCGTAAAAACAGTGTAAAACAGTTGAGTCCTGAGAAGTCTGGTCCAGTGTAGCCCCAAAAGGCCCGGATATGCTGTTAAAAAAAGTTTAATTTCCAGGGTTTAAATTGCGGCTCTCTCCAGTCTCTGCCGTAGTCTTGTTCTTTGAATCTACTGAGCCGTGGAGTGCGTGAACACAAGTCTTTGCAGGGCTCCAACAGTGTGTAAGGTATCAGCCCTGTTCCTTCTTCTAAAAACAAAAGCCATGCATGCTGAGTTGGGAAAAGGCAGTCTTGAGCGAGTCACACTGTCCGCCTTTCCATTTGCAAAAGCTGCAGTCGAGTTACAAGCAACCTTCCAATACCGGCCCCTTGCTTCAATTTATCCCTTCCCAGATACAACAGCGATAAAAATCCACCAATGAGGCGCTGTCGCTACCCTGCCTCTGCGCCAAAAACACGCCCCTCTTGGCTCCCATTGGCTCAGAGAATCTAATAATAATCAGCGCGTGCAATGAGGAGTCTCGTGTCTGACCTCATTCCAGAATACAAGAAACTTCAATTTTTTTTCAACAGACATGGCTTATGTTATGGACCCCTTCTCTGCTCTCCCTTACCACGAGCATGTGTGTGCCATTAGCATAGATCCATATGGGAAGTTACCATATGGAAACTTCCCTCTGTACACTCTGTTCCGCCAGAGTTAAACTTATATAGTTGTAGTAAAAGTAGAATTTCGGACAAGCAGGTTCAGGACTATAGTTTGACTTTGTTACATAAAGAGTTCACATGTTTTGTCACTTATTGCTTAGTTTTCCCCAAAGTAATTGCTCATTTTCAATTATTAACACACTTTTGTCAATTCACAATATTTTTTTTCTATTGTTTGATGTCTATCTCTTCATTTGAGTCCACAGGTGGTTGCCTTGTACAGTCACCCTCACTGTGTCTGAACAGAAAGTGTTTCCACTGCTGCGCCTTCTCCAATGAGACGTCTCTCGTGCGCAGCGTTATCGTTAGTCTGGTGTGAAGATTGGAAGCCAACTGTATAACCCTTCTCCCTCCCTCTTCCCCTCTCTCTCTCAATCAGGCGGGGCAGGGCGGTCTTTTGTCAAATAACGCACAATCCAGACCTCTCGCACGCTAAACCCAGAGATCTTACAGGAGGTGTGCGAGTGTGCACATATGCGCACGCTGAAAGTGACAATCTGCCCGGGCGCGCACTGACATAAACAAGCAGCTCAGGTGACACACAAATAAACACATGGCACCGCGCGGTGGTTGTGGCGCACGTGGTCATTTTTACGCACAAGTGAATCGTAGTTTCATTCCGTTTCATTACACTAATCAAATTGGTTATTATATTTTTCAAAATCTCGATCATGTTTATGTGGTATCTTTGTTGTATTCATTAACACTGCGCAGGAATACAATCAGTGTAATTTAATTTAGTATTTTAAATAAATGAGTAGCTTATTATCAATATAGCAGAATGCTTATCAATGGGGTGCATAAGGGAAAGCAAAACGGTGGCACATGAGGCAGCAGCAGACTACAGTCTCATGTTGACAGTCGCCACTAGATGGCGTCGCAGAGCCGGACAGGATTCGTGGCCGAGGGTAAAAGGGATCAGAGACCAGGCGCACAGAGCAGTTACCAGAGGTGAATTACATAATGTCTCGGAGCAATAGGAAGGCATGTAAACCATTTTGCCTTCTCCTTTTGTCAGCGTAATCAGCCCTCATTGTGCTGCAGACAGTTAACAAAGGACAGATCTTTGGAAGATGTGTCCACCAGCCTCCGTAGCAAGGAATTCATATTCTTTGGCGTCTAATGGAGAAGGAGAATGATGTCTAATGTCTTCAACGTGTGGTCACTGTGAAGGCCATCCAGTAGTCACACAATCATAAAGCCATTTAACCAGGACTTGTGCTCCAGAGTAATGGGCAGCTCACAGAGAGATAGAGATAATGTCGATGTGAGCGTATGAGGGGAGCGCAGAGGTGACTGGGATCACCACAGGGAAATTAGTATGGAGGCATGGCACTCGCCCTACCGGATGCAATTCACTGACTACAATTTTATTCAATATGGGCTCATATCTTCAGCGCATCCAAGTAAAGCGTTGGGTAATTGGCCTCCAATTTGTGTGTTCATGGAGTAGAACCAGCAATGGAAATAAAAATTATGAAATCATAAACTCAATGATCGTTAATAAGGAGGCACAGGAAAAGTTTGAGCATATTTATCTAGCATGAAGGTACGTCAAAACATAACTTAGACATTCAAAGACTCATGTGCAACAACTGTTAAAGTCCTAAAGTATTCTACTGGACCTACATGAACATGGCATTCCAGATGAAAACTTCGTGTCTCCAGGTGAGACTATGAGGAGGAGGTTTGGGATAAAGAAATAAATCATGATTGCTTTGAAAAAAAAAAAAAAAGGTATCTTGAAGAGTTAACATTTGAGCATGCCCACATCATGCACCTCTTATTCACAGTGAGGGTTATAATAAACAACACATATCCAAAACAAACTGTTGTTGTGTCTCTGGGCAAGCTGTGGTCCTAGGGCAGCTGTGGCTACTGTAGTACTTTACCACCAGTGTTTAGGATTAGGGTGAGTGTATGGAGTGAATGAACAATGCCATGAGGGTGACAGTAGCTCAGTTGGTAGAGCATTGGGCTTGGAGCCAGAAGGTCATGGGTTCGAGCCCACCTCAAGACTTTCACCATCGACTCCCGCTGTCGTTGTGTCCTTGGCCAGACACTTAACCTCTGGGAACACCAGCCACAGTGGGGCGGCTGCGGCTGTAAAGTGCCAAACTGCTGTTGTGTCCTTAGGCAAGACACTTCACCCCCATTGCCTAGAATGAGTCTGGTGTGTGTATGGTTGGTGGTGCTTGGAGGGGCCGATGGCACATACTAGTTGCCTTACTTCTGTCAGTGTGCCCCAGGGCAGCTGTGGCTGGAGTGAAAGAATAATGACATGTAAAGCGTCTTTGAGTGTCCTAAAAAGCGATATATAAAACCGATGCACTATTATCAGTCGAAAACCGATGCCTTAAAGTTGCCATTGAATGACTTTCAAATACACATTCACATATCTTCTTTTTTCACGGTCCACAAAAACACCACCTCAAACTGTTTTTCCACTCAAGCACACGGGTTTGTGGACCTGTGGTAACAACTCTTTTAGTCAGTGCACCTGGAGGGACAGCTGAAACGTTGATCGGTTGAACTACTCATTATTAGCTTGTGTGTAATAAGCAAATGTCGTCCATTGTGCCAGTTCCTATTTTACATGTAGATAATAAACAGGACCTTTCACCCACTTGGGGCTCATAGTTCACTTGAATGCGAGTCTTTCTTGGCTGCCCACACTTTTGTCTGTCCCTGTGTGTGTCTCCCAGCCTCTCGCTCTGCCTCTGTCTCCCTGTGTGCACATTAGGATGCCGCTCACACATGACCTGCAGGATAAGTAGTGCATTCAAACTTTGCTTTTTGTTGGAGTGAGGCGCAGCTGCCACGCGAGTCCGAGTGGGTCGCGTGCCAGCCTTAATCTCAACAGGTGTTCTTTTGGGCCACTCTCTACACTCTCTTCTCTTTTGTCTGTACAGGCTCGCCCCTCCCCCTGTCCCTAGTACTTTGGGTTTAATAAGTAGGCTACTCCCCAGGCCCGGCCCCCTCCCAGATTATCCAAACTTGTCTTTTGTTATTCTGATATTGGTTGGATTAGTCTGTTTATGAACAGCTGCTTTGTTGTTGACCATGACTTACCAAAATATACAAATTAAATATAGAAAGAGCATAGTTAACACCAAGCTTACCCTGTAGTACTTTCTGTAGAAGAGTTTTGTTCACAGAGGTTGCAAGTAATTAAGTATTTTTCAAATAAATGTGTTGTTATTTTAGTTGATTTTTCAACAAAATTGCATTTCACGTTTTATTTAAATCCATATTATTGTACGAGCATCTAGATTCACTTATCAAAGACATAATTAAATCCCCTTATGTCAAGAATAATATTACATTATAAATGTGTTTGTTAAAGCCCATTATGTAACTTTAAGACAAAAGTGATTATACTAAAATAGTATTTAAAATCCTGCTGTGAGTTTGCATTTCCACAAACTTTGGAGAACCTTCCTCCCTGTGATAGTTTTCCATCATTTGGGGTGTTTTCCAAATTAAATGTTTCTTGTTTTTGTTCTTTGATAGCACAGGTTTTAACAGTATTATAAAAGAAAGTACGATTTTATGTTGTTATTAGCTGTGAATGCAACAACAGCTTATCATTAAGGTTCCTTTCATGTAAACCCAGCATGTGCACTCAGTGTCAGAGAAATAATGTGGGAGGTTATTTTAGTTTACTATACATGTGCATTAGTATACACGCATGTTTGTGTATGTGCATTATACTGGTAAAATGTCATACTGTTTTAGCATTAATGGCTGCTAAGGGTTAAAACTCAATGGTTATAGCAGTCTATGGTAAAAACTTGTGAAACACACCTCTGCCCCTTTCCATAAGATAAATATTCTAAAGTTTCATTTGAATAGAACTTGTTTTTCCTGTTGTACCGCTGCAATATTTGATTTCCTTTTGTTGTGTTTTTGTTGGAGTTCAAAGCTGCTTGTCATAACCCTGTCTTTATCTCCACTGCTCAGTTTAGGCCGGTTCGTTTATTGGCATGAATGTTGGATGAAGTGCATTGCCAAATCACCCCAGCAGCCCGTCCATCTCCTCCTCAGATAAATCTGATCTGAGGTCATCTGCTATTCAGAACACTGACACCATATGGTCAGCCACCCACTCGCAACGCAGGCTTTCATGAAAACTTAAAATCTTCCCATATGCAATATTGATGAACTTGTATATCTACTGTTGGTCACTGAGCCTCAAAGCAAACCAGA